AATTTTTTTTTTTTTGAAAAATGCTGGTTCATCTTTAATTTTTTTTACAAAAATGTACTATAGAAACTAGTTCCTTTTGAGTGTTTAAATTTTTTTTATTAATTAAGTTGCAGTATAAGTGTAATATTTATATTACTTTAGTAAAAGGTGAAGTTCAGCATGTGCTGATTTATAACTTGTATATAACATAAAAATATAATAATATAATAGAGAAAAAAGTATAAAAAATATAAAAAATGAAAAATAAACAGATTTTCAAAACCAAATTCGTTGCATTATACAATATATTTTTTTTATGACCTTTGCTTATTGTACAAAGATTCTTTTAGACGTTTCTTGAAATTAAGCAAATTGTATGATTTCATTTAATTTTTAAGGTTATTGTACTCTTTACATGCGACATACGAAAAACATCTTTTATATAATATATGTGTTATGATTCGGTACCACCACGGTCATTCTATTCCGCGTAGGAAATTCATTAATATTGGAAGATATATTTAATTTGTTAACTAAATAAACAGGTTTTTGTATGAGTAAAACTTTGTGAACTTGGGTTAAAAAAATGCAAAAGGCGATAGTTATTGAAAATCAACCAACCTGATTTTTTATTTTATTTGAGATATGGTCAAATTTTCGAATTCCATAGGCAAAACTTAGACAGCTATTCTAAATTTTTTGTAAACGAGCGGAATCGGATTGGAGTAAGGTTAAAGCGTTTGGAAAAAATGAGAGATTCACAAAGTTTTAGTTTGAGTTGTGTTGAAAGTAGGTCTCGATTAGGGTACAACTATCTTAAGACGTTGAACGAACTTTAAGATATGATGGACGTATGTTTACTAAAACGAAGATCAGAATCTAACCAGAGACCTAGGTTTTTTCCTTCATTCGTGAATTAAAGGAGAGCATCGCCTAATTTAATTTGTAATGCGTTTATTGTTGTCTTAATTGTTTGCAGCCATGGATGGATAATTTTTTAGAATTTATTTTAAGGTTGTGAGCTGTAGAAATAATAAGTAAAGCGTCGTTAATAAGATTTTGGGCAGTAAGTAAGCACTTATTATTAAACGAGTGATATAACTGGGTCATCTACATAATGATGGATCACACAATCTTTAACAAAGCTATGAAAATCTGCTATATATAGTGAAAACAGTAAAGGTCCTAGAATGGATCCTTGCGGAACACCTTGATTAACAGGTAGTAGACTGCTAAATACATCACCTTTCAAAATAACTTTAGGAGTACGATTGCTAAGAAAATTTGATATTAAACAAACGGATTCAAACTTCATTTTTAATGTGAATTAACCGTATTTTGCAAATAGGTTTCATTTTCGTTCAACACTTTTTCTTTGAGGTACACCACATCCCGAAATAAAGTGGTCTCTTGTTAACGAGATAGAAGTAATAGTCCAGGAGCAAGTGTAGTTTTTTGGTACTTATTTTCCCAGTCAGGAAACACCGATAGAATTATTCGATTTGTTATTCTAAGCCAAATTCATATATATTGTAATGATAACACCCTATATTAAAATATAACAATAAAACTAAAAATAATAGTACTATTAATAATAATAACTATAATTTAATAATAATAATAATAATAATAATAATAATAATAATAATAATAATAATAATAATAATAATAATAATAATAATAATAATAATAATAATAATAATAATAATAATAATAATAATAATAATAATAATAATAATAATAATAATAATAATAATAATAATAATAATAATAATAATAATAATAATAATAATAATAATAATAATAATAATAATAATAATAATAATAATAATAATAATAATAATAATAATAATAATAATAATAATAATAATAATAATAATAATAATAATAATAATAATAATAATAATAATAATAATAATAATAATAATAATAATAATAATAATAATAATAATAATAATAATAATAATAATAATAATAATAATAATAATAATAATAATAATAATAATAATAATAATAATAATAATAATAATAATAATAATAATAATAATAATAATAATAATAATAATAATAATAATAATAATAATAATAATAATAATAATAATAATAATAATAATAATAATAATAATAATAATAATAATAATAATAATAATAATAATAATAATAATAATAATAATAATAATAATAATAATAATAATAATAATAATAATAATAATAATAATAATAATAATAATAATAATAATAATAATAATAATAATAATAATAATAATAATAATAATAATAATAATAATAATAATAATAATAATAATAATAATAATAATAATAATAATAATAATAATAATAATAATAATAATAATAATAATAATAATAATAATAATAATAATAATAATAATAATAATAATAATAATAATAATAATAATAATAATAATAATAATAATAATAATAATAATAATAATAATAATAATAATAATAATAATAATAATAATAATAATAATAATAATAATAATAATAATAATAATAATAATAATAATAATAATAATAATAATAATAATAATAATAATAATAATAATAATAATAATAATAATAATAATAATAATAATAATAATAATAATAATAATAATAATAATAATAATAATAATAATAATAATAATAATAATAATAATAATAATAATAATAATAATAATAATAATAATAATAATAATAATAATAATAATAATAATAATAATAATAATAATAATAATAATAATAATAATAATAATAATAATAATAATAATAATAATAATAATAATAATAATAATAATAATAATAATAATAATAATAATAATAATAATAATAATAATAATAATAATAATAATAATAATAATAATAATAATAATAATAATAATAATAATAATAATAATAATAATAATAATAATAATAATAATAATAATAATAATAATAATAATAATAATAATAATAATAATAATAATAATAATAATAATAATAATAATAATAATAATAATAATAATAATAATAATAATAATAATAATAATAATAATAATAATAATAATAATAATAATAATAATAATAATAATAATAATAATAATAATAATAATAATAATAATAATAATAATAATAATAATAATAATAATAATAATAATAATAATAATAATAATAATAATAATAATAATAATAATAATAATAATAATAATAATAATAATAATAATAATAATAATAATAATAATAATAATAATAATAATAATAATAATAATAATAATAATAATAATAATAATAATAATAATAATAATAATAATAATAATAATAATAATAATAATAATAATAATAATAATAATAATAATAATAATAATAATAATAATAATAATAATAATAATAATAATAATAATAATAATAATAATAATAATAATAATAATAATAATAATAATAATAATAATAATAATAATAATAATACCTGGGGGGGACACCTCTAACCCCTACCAGGCGCGTCCCCGGGTGGCGGATAGGGGAATGCCCGAACCGGCCTAGCTGGTGGGTAGGAGACAAACTGTCTCCCGCGGACCAAGAGGATTGCACTTAGACCCCCTTTGGGCCGGGGACCACTTTAGCACAATAGACCCAGACCTGGGAGTAAACCCGGTAAAAAAAAAACCGTAATCCAAGGTGGAAGACATCGTGCCGATGGATGCATGGCCATA